GTCCAAGGGTTTTTTACTTTCTTCCTTGTTTCAATGTGATGTTTCTTCCAAGCAGGACTTTCCAACATTGAATTTCAGTTGAAGGCACGTTCTGCAGCCAGCCGACTTCATACGTCTCACCTTACATCTCCCAGGCTGGTCGAAACTTCCCATCAAGTTGATGAATTCCATTAATGAGGTATGATTTCAAGGTGTCTCGGAGTGAAGAGCACGTGCGCACTTCTCAAATGGAATCTGATGTTTCCTAATACATTACGATCAGAGTTAATAAGATCACATTATGTCTGATCATACTACATTAGTCAGCGTCACATCAAATTAGTTGTTGGAGGAGGAGTTGTAGCCATGCATGGAAAGCAACTCCAAATAACTTTTTTCCCAAAAAAAGAAAACATGTACATATGCAAACAGAGAAGTTTTGGGTTATGCCTGAGTGCCCTCATAACTTCCAGGCACCATGCATTTTCCTCCAGAACACGTGAAGCTGCCTTCTATTGAGTCAGACCATTGGTCTATCAAGGTCAGCATTGTCTACTCTGACTGGCAGCAGTCCTCCAGAGTCTCAGACAGAGGACTTTCCCATAATCTACTACCTCTTTATTCTAACTGGAGATGTCGAGGATGGCACCTGGAACCTTCTGCATGCCAAATTGCCTTAAACAGAGAAAGAACATTGGTCTATCAAGGCCAGCATTGTCTACTCTGACTGGCAGCAGTCCTCCAGAGTCTCAGACAGAGGACTTTCCCATAATCTACTACCTCTTTATTCTAACTGGAGATGTCGAGGATGGCACCTGGAACCTTCTGCATGCCAAATTGCCTTAAACAGAGAAAGAACATTGGTCTATCAAGGCCAGCATTGTCTACTCTGACCGGCAGCAGCTTTCCAGAGTCTCAGGCAGAGGACTTTCTCATCACCTACTGCCTGATTCTTCTAACTGGAGATACTGGGGGTTGAAGCGGGGACCTTCTCCATGCCAAACTGCCTTATACAGAGATGGGCCATTGGGCTATTAAAGTCAGCATTGTCTGTTTTGACTGACAGCAGCTCTCCAGTTTACAGATGACACAAAATTATTCAGGATGGTGAAAACCAGGGCTGGCTGTGAAGAGCTCCAAGAGGCCCTCCACAAACTGGGCGACAATGTGGCGAATGAAGTTCAGTGTTGGTAAGTGTAAAGTGATGCCCATTGGGTCAAAAAATCCCAACTTAAAGTATAGGCTAATGGGGACTGAACTTGCTGAGACGGAGAGGGGGAAAGATCTTGGGGTCACAGTGGATACCTCAGTGAAAGCATCAACCCAGATTGCTGCAGTGGTGAAAAAGACAGACTCTGTGTCAGGGACTGTTAGGAAAGGGACTGAGAATAAAACGATCAGTAATACCCCTGTAGAGATCTATGGTGCAGCCTCATTTGGAATGCTGTGTACAGTTCTAGTCACCGTATCTCAAAAAAAAAAAAAAAGACATTGCAGAGCTGGAAAAAGTGCAGAGGGAGGGTGACCAAGATGATTCGGGGGTTGGAGCCCCTTCCCTGTGAGGGAAGGCTGAAGAGTCTGGGACTTTGCAGTTTAGAAAAGAGACGACTAAGGAGGGGAACACAATAGACGTTTATGAGATTATGGAGGGACTGGAGAGAGTTGACAAAGAGAAATTTTTCTCCCTTTCCCAAAATACTAGAACCCGGGGGCATCCAATGAAGCTGATGGGCAGTAGGTTCAGGACAGACAAAAGGAAATACTGCTTTACACAGAGAGGGATTAAAATATGGAATTTGCTGCCAGAGGATGTAGTGATGACCGCAGGGATCAACAGTTTCAAAAGGGGATTGGATGGATTCATGGAGGATAGGTCAATCAGTGTCTACTAGGCATGGTGACTGAGGGGAAACTCCACATTCAGAAGCACTGAACCTCTAAATCCCAGAGCCAGGAAGCAACATCAGGGAAGGTCTCAGCCTCCATGCCCTCTTGTTGGCCCTCCAGAGGAATTGGATGGCCACTGTGGGAGACAGGAGGCTGGACTAGATGGACCTTCACTGGTCTGATCCAGCAGGGCTCTTTTGATGTTCCAGGGCCTCATGCAGAGGTCTTTCACATCACCTGCTACCAGTGTCCCCTCTAAGCTGAGTTAGTGTGAGCTAGCTCACAGTTTTTTAGGCCCCAGCTCACATACTTATTTGTCTTAGCTCAAGACGAATGGTTCCAGAGCAAACTACTTTATGCAGTAGCCACGTTGCTCACTCACAGCTTTAATGACAGTAGCTCACAAAGTAGAATTTTTGCTCACAAGACTCCACAGCTTAGAGGGAGCATTGCCTGCTACCTGATTCTTCTAACTGGAGATGCCAGTGATGGAACCTGGGACCTGCTATATGCCAAACTGCCCCATACAGAGTCAGAGCATTGGTCCATCAATGTCAGCATTCCCTACCCTACTCGAACTGGTGGTGGGTCTCCAGGGTCTCAGGCGGACCTCTTTCATAGCCAGTTTGAGTGTAGTTGTTAGGAGCACAGACTCTAATATGGGAAAACTGGGTTTGATTCCCCACTTCTCCACATGCAGCTGCTGGTGTGAACTTGGGTCAGTCACAAGTTCTCTCAGAGCTGTTCTTTCAAGGGCTGTTCTCAAAAGAGCTCTCTCAGCCCCACCTACCTCACAGGGTGCCTGATGTGGGGAGAGGAAGGGAAAGGAGATTTTAAGCCACTCTGAGACTTCTTCGGGTAGTGAAGGGTGGGGTATAAATCCAATCTCCTCCTCTTCTTCTTCTTCTCCTTCACAGGGTGTCTGTTGTGGGGAGGGGAAGGGAAAGGAGTTTGTAAGCCGCTCTGAGACTCCTTTGGGTAGTGAAGGGTATAAATCCAACCTTCTCCTCCTCCTTCTCCTCCTCCTCCTTCCTCTTCCTCTTCCTCTTCCTCTTCCTCCTCTTCCTCTACCTACTACCTGATTCTTCTAATTGGAGATGACAAATGTTGAAGCTGGGACCTTAGGCAAAGCCAAAACATTGGTCCATCAAGATTGGTGTTTTCTGAGCTGGAACCTGAGATTCCCCTGCATGCAAGCGGTCTATCTACTGCTGAGCCACAAACCCTTCCCAAGCCTGGCGATAGTTGACAAGTTAAAGGAATGGCCTAAAACCATAAATACAGCACCATTAATGATCCATAATAAAATCTAGCCATTAAAAACTAGCCATGGGCATAAAAACAATATAAAGCAATCACGGAGCATCCTAAGATGATACTTATAACAACAGTCCTCGAGCAGACCATAAAACAATGTGGGGAGGAGAGGAGAGAAAACCACTTAGCTATAAGCCTTGATAAAAGAATATATTTTGGCCTGGCTCGTAAACGGTGATAAAGTTGGCACAGGTGAACCTCAAGGGGGACAGCGTTTCTAAGGTGGAGGGGCCAACACCAAAAGTGCACTGCCTCTAGTCACCGCCTCTCTCCCCTCTGCCAGCAGGGGGCAGGAAAGGGCCTGGGGAGGCAGATCTTGGTGCTGGGAAGTGCCATCAGGTCACAGCCCACTTACAGTGACCCTGTGGGGTTTTCAAGGCAAGAGACAAGCAGAGGTGGTTTTGCCATTGCCTGGCTCTGTGTAGCAGCCATAGACTTCTTTGGCCATCTCCCATCCAAGGCCTAACCAGGGTTGACCCTGCTTAGCTTCTGAGCTCTGATGATATCAGGTTGGCCTGGGACATCCAGATCAAGGCAGGCAGATCATAAACAATCTTAAGAACATAAGAGAAGTCACGTGGGATCAGGCCAGTGGCCCATCCAGTCCAACACACTCTGTGTCACACAGTAGCCAAAACCCAGGCGCCATCAGGAGGTCCACCAGTGGGGCCAGAACTCCAGAAGCCCTCCCAGTGTTGCCCCCCAAGCACCAAGAATACAGAGCATCACTGCCCCAGACATCAGAACATAAGAGAAGCCACGTTGGATCAGGGCAGTGGCCCATCCAGTCTAACGCTCCATGTCACACAGTGGCCAAACCCCAGGCGCCATCAGGAGGTCCACCAGCGGGCCAGAACTCCAGAAACCACCCCACTGTTGCATCACAAGCACCAAGAATACAGAGCATCACTGCCCCAGACATAACATAAGAGAAGCTATGCTGGACCAGACCCATAGCCCTTCCATTCCAACACTCTGTGTCTCACACAGTGGCCAAAAATACCAGGTGCCATCAGGAGGTCCACCAGTGGGCCCAGAACTCCAGAAGCCCTCCCACTGTTGCCCCCCAAGAACCAAGAATACAGAGCATCACTGCCCCAGACATAGTATTCTATCTAGACCTTGTGGCCAATAGCCAGTTATAACCTGCCCTTTCTGAAGTGTGGGTGTGGGTAACCAGATATATATTTAAGTAGACGATTAGTAGAAAAACAATTAAATTGCTATGAAAGCACCTGGTATGTGTACATAGCTGTAATTGCAGAAATGTAGCTGTTCTTGGCATGGCCATGCAACTGGAAATAAAACCAGCTAATTTCCCCTTGCCCATCTCTGCCTGCCGCAGGGTGGTGGTGGGGGTGGTGACCTCTCACTCACTGTTGGTCTTCCAGGAGAGGGTAGACAGTTAACTATCAGGGTTGGTTTAAGCTTTGGATTTGGACTAGAGGGTTGGACTAGATGGTCTCCGTGGACCTTCCCAACTCAGGGTCTCTGTGCCTAATTCCTGCATACCAAATTACCTGTTTGCCGGTTTTTCTCTCCAGATCAAGAACAAGTGTTTCTAACTAAGGTCTGAAGAGAGGTTTTTTAATGCAATTATTTCAAACTCAGCATGCCTGTAACTGGCATGGATCTGAAAGGTTATTTCCCCCCCTGTGCCAGCTTCAGCTGTTATTAGACTCAATCCACATTTGGAACACATACGAAGCTGACTTATACTGAATCAGCCCTTCAGTCCATCAAGTTCAGTATGGTCTACTCAGACTGGCAGGATCTCAAGCAGAGGTCTTTCACATCACCTATTTGATCCTTCTAAGTGGAAATGCCGGGGATTGAACCTGGGACCTTCTGCAGGCGAGGCAGATGCTCTACCACTGAGCCACAACTGCTCCCTATTTGCATGTCTTCCAATCTTTTCATGGAATTTTACCGTGGTTATGACTGCTTATACCAGGCAGCTGGCTGAGGAATATAGTTGCAGGTGTTTCTCCCTCGACCGTGTCCTTCAGTATGAGATTTGCCGAAGAGTTGCACTCCTTTGCCTTGGAATATAAGCTTCAGCAGCTCGGAAAGGACCACCTTCAAAGCGAGACGAGATTGCAGCGGCCGAGTTCCTCTCCGGCTTGAATGGAAAATCTGAGCCGGAGAAGAAATACTTGTTCCTTCTGCCCTCCCGCTCTAATTTATGAACACACGAAGCTGCCTTATACCTTCATTGGAGGTTTTTTAACAGAGGCTGAGAGCAATACTGATTCTGTGAATTTAGGCAGCTCGTGAGAGGGAGGGGCAGGGAGGGTTGCATCAGTGCTTAGTCCTTGTGGCCCTTTCTCACATGGCCAGGGAAGTCCTGGGTGCCACTTCGGGGTCAGGAAGCAATTTGTCTCCAGGCCGGTTTGCCTGGACATCCTGGATGTTGTTGTTTTTTGTCATCTTCTGGGCATGGAACAAGAGTCACTGGGTGTGTGTGTGTGGGGGGGTGTATTTGTCAATTTCCTGCATTGTTTTTGAGAATTTCCTGCAGGGTTTGACTAGATGATCCTGGAGGTCTTTTCCAACTCTATGATTCTATATGTGAGACTCAAGGGCCGTCTTGTCTGCTCTGAATGGCAATGGTTCTCCACTGGAAGAGGCTGTGAGAGGGACCTTGGTGCAGTGGCAGGGCATCTGCTTGGCATGCAGAAGGTCCCAGGTTCATTCCCCGGCATCTCCAGCTAAAATGTTCAGGTGGCAGGGGATATGAGAGACCTTAACCAGAGACCCTGCATCTCCTCGATCTCAAAAAACAAGGATCTAGAAGACGCGGGGGAAATCGGGGGATGCTGGGGGTCAAAATGCCCCTGCGCAGCAAGTGGTGGGAAATTGACGAATACAGTTGGGTGGAAAGGGAAGAGTGAGGGTGGTGCAGCTGCTTGTGGGAAATCGGTCATTATCTCTTTCAAAAATGTCTGTGCTTCCTCTTCAGAGACCTGTCTGCTTTTTCATGTGCAAGGCCTTAAACCAAGCACCATCCTGTATCTGTCATCTTTCAGCTTCTGTTCCTGTTTTCCTATGTGCCAAATCACACCCGAGCCTTTTGTTAATCATAACTGCAGAACAATCTACTGCATTGTGCATTGCTGAGCCTGTGATGTCTTTTGTGTTCCTCAAGATGATATCTCCCTAATCCTGAATGTTCTGTGTCTAAACCCTCCTGAGCTGGAGGTATTAAGAATATTGACACCCATTCTTGATTACTAAAGTTGTTCTCCCTCGTGGCTTTCACTCACTAGCTGAGTGAAAATGCCCCCTCAGGGGGAGTGGCTGTGGATCAGTGGTACAGCATCTTTTTGGAATGCAGAAGGTCCTTGGTTCAATCCCTGGCATCTCCAGTGAAAAGAACCAGGCTCACGGGAAGTACCTCTGCTAAAGGCTGTGGAGGAGAGCCTTTGCCAGTCAAAGGAGACAATACTGACTTTGATTGACCAAGAGTTTTGTTCAGTATCAGCAGGGGTCGTTGTGTAGAAAAAGAGGTGCAGGAGCTCATTAGCATAACTTATTTTCATAATTTATTTGCATAACTTATTTGCATATGCCACACCCCCTGACATCACCGGAAGTGTTTCAGAAGGCAACACCCAGCGCTCAGGCTCCACTGGACTGTTTTGGATTCCTAGCTATTGGGGGGGGTGAGTGTAAGACAGCTTCATGTGTTCAAGTACACGTCTGGTGGTGGAACAGGGCTGCCAACCTCCAGGTACAGCCTGGAGATCCCCTGGCATTACAATGGACAGAGATCAGTCTCCCTGGAGAGCATGGCTGCTTTGGGAGGGGGGAGTAGACTCCATGGCACTGTACCCAAACCTTGCTTACCCCAGGCTCCACCCCCAAATCTCCAAGCCTTTCCCAACCCAGAGCTGGCAACCTTATGGTGGAACGTGCCATCAAGTCACAAGACTTATGGTGACCCCTTGGGGTTGTCAAGTCCCCCTGTGGCCACCAGCACACAGATGCCCAGATCCAGGTTGGGAAACTCCTGAAGATTTGGGGATGGAGCCTGGAGAGGACAGGGACCTCAGTAGGGTACGATGCCATAGAGTCCAGCCTACAAAGCGGCCATTTTCTCCAGAGGAACTGGTCTCTGAAGTCTGGAGATGAGCTGTAATTCCGGGGGATCCCCAGGTCCCACCTGGAGGCTGGCATCCCCATGACCCCTCAAGGGGTTTTCAAGGTGCGTGATGAGCAGAGGTGGTTTGCCATTGCCTGCCTCTGCACTGTAGCCCTGGCCTTTTTTGGTGGTCTTCCATCCAGTTACTAATTAGGGCTGACCTGAACTTCCAAGATCTGATGAGATCAGGCTGGCTTGGTCGACCCAGGTCAGGGCAGACTGATGGTTTTCTTAGTCCAATACTCTTGCCCCGACAGACAGCCAACTAGATTCTCATGGGAATCTATCTCGGACAAGGTTATGTGATGTAGGTTATGCAGAGGGAGAATGAGCTGCCTGGAGCCGCCCAGTGAACTTCATTGTAGAGCGGAGGTCTGAACATAAGCTTCCCCGATCCTAGTCTAATGCTTGAACCACTGCATATTACTACTACTACCACCACCACTACCACTACGCATTGTGTGTAGTATACACAGCTTTTGAACAACTATATGGCTTAAAATTCTTCAAATAGTTAATAAAAAGGCAAACACAATTTTGGACTCTATCAACAGAAGTATAATGTCTACATCACACGAAGTGATGGTATCGCTTTACTCTGCTCTTGTTATACCTCACCTAGAGTGTTGTGTTCAGTTTTGGGTGCCACAATTTAAGAAGGATATAGACAAGCTGTAAGGTGTCCGGAGGAGGGCAACGAAGCTGGCTGAGTGGGTAAATGCCTATTTGAGAGTGGGAGTTGTACCATCCATGCACAAGAAAGCAGGGATTAGACCTGTTTTTTGGGGAAAAACCCTGCCCCTGAGCCCTACTATGTTAGAAAAAAAAATTGTCCAGTCTCTAATCTTCCATTTTGGGGCAAGATGCTAGAGTGGGTTGTTGCCTTTCAGCTTCAGGGGTTCTTGGAAGAGACTGATTTTCTGTAGCCATTTCAGTCTGGCTTCAGAACAGGATTTGGCACAGAGACTGCTTTGATCGTATTGGTTGATGACCTCTACTAACCATAGTAATCCTACTGGTCCTCCTCTCAGCACTGGGACTAAAGGGCTTCATATTACAGCTGTCTGAGTCCTATCTAGGGGATCAATCAATGTTGGGGTGTTCCTGCTCTGCCCCATGGCTGTTGACCTATGGGATGCCACGGGGTTCCATCTTAACCCCCATGCTGTTCATTATCTATATGAAGCCACTGGGAGAGGTCATCAGGAGGTATGCGATTGTCACCATATGTGGATGCCTCCCAGATCTACTTTTCTTTCCCACCTAATTCCAAGGATGCGGTTGATGTTCTGAACCAGTGCTTGGAGTCAGTACTGGGCTGAATGAGTGTGATAAAGTCTGAGACTTATTCCTGACAGGACTGAGGTTCTCTGTGTTAGTAGAAAGGCAGTCCATAGACTTCAGTTCTCCCCTGACTTGGATGGGGTTATACTCCCCTTGAAAAGCCAAGTTTGCAGTTTGGGAGTGCTACTTGATACAGTGGTCACCTTAGAAAACCAGGTGGCTGCTGTGGTTTGGAGTACATTTGCTTAGCTCCGGCTGGTGCATCTATTGCTTTTATTCCTGGATTGGCTCTGGCTGGCGCATTGACTGTTTCATTCCTGGGTCAGTCAGATCTAGCCACAGTGAACCATAACTTAGTTACATCTATACTGGACTACTGCAATGCTCTCTACTTGGGGCTACCTTTGAAGAGTTTTCAGAAGCTGTAGCTAGTACAGAATGCTATGGCTAGACTGCTGGTTGGAGAGAACTACAGGATGAAGTGACTCCAACATTACAGCAGTTACATCGGCTACCAGTCCACTCCCAAATCCAATTCAAGGTGTTGGTTTGTCCTTTAAAGCCCTACATGGCTTGGGACTGGTATCTCTGAAGGACCATCTTCTCTAGTATGTTCCTGCCTGGGAATTAAGATCACAGGGGGATGCCCTCCTGATTGTCCCAGCAATTAAAGACATTTGTTTGGTAGGTACACATGAAAGGGCCTCTTCTGTGGCAGCCCCACAATTCCCAAAAAGGTGTGCCTGGCCCCCTCATTGTGCCTCCAAACTACAATCCAATCAGCAACCTTGCAGTACAATATCCATTATCCTGCCTCTTTTAGAACTGTGTGACAGAGTGTTGAAGTGGATGGGCCACTGGCCTGATCCAACATTGGCTTCTCTTATATTCTCTTATTTTCTTAAAGGTAAAAGCCAGAACCTTGAACTGGATCCAGTGCTCTGCTGGGAGCCAGTGCAGCTCACGCAGCACAGGTTGAATATGTGCTGCTGAGGGGTAGTAAGGACCCACGTGGCCGCATTCGGGATCAGCTGGAGCTTCCAGGTCAGGCACAAGGGTATGTTAATACCATAGTCAGGGAACCTGATGTGAATAGGGAAACCTGCTCTCCGTTTCCAGCACAACCCAAGGCGAATTGAGGCAGTACAACCCTGCATTTTATAGATGGATGTATAATCTTAGTTACAACTGATCTCTCAGCGGGTGACATTAGGACTGCCACTATATTTCAACCTAACCTGCCTCACATCATTGTTGTGAGTCCCCCTAAGCTCTCTGGAGGAATGGGAGAGATAAAACTATGTTAGAAAGCCTGCAGAACCCGTTCTTTCTATAATTCACTCACTGGTGTATCAGTAGATTATCACTAATCTAATATCACAAGCTCCCATATGGATGAGACTGCTGCTGTATCACACCCTGCAGACATGTTAGAACGTTTCACAAATTTAACTTCAACGC